AACAGTATTACTGTTGTAGTATTGGGTTTGCAGTTCGATGCAAACCGTAGCACAGTATTAGAGCTGACTATTCGAAGTCCTTAACTCAACACTTCATAACCAAATGAATGGTTTACAGCAGTTTATATACTCTCAAAATCAATGGGACTTATTGTTTGCGCACAACACCTATTGGTGTCGTGTGCAAACATGCCGTGCCTTCCCTAATATAAATTCATATACTATACTTAATTCCCAATAAGTATTAAAGAAATTAATTAATTAATAAAATATTCTCATAAAAATTCCCTATATTTTCCCTATATATTCCCTTATGTTTCTGTTAGGTGTTAACCCACTTAATAAAAAAATAGTGTTGTATATTTTGTTGGACGGGACAACTATCCGGTTTACCCGGGTAGTTATCCCGTCTAAGTATAAATTTAGCTTTCGGGACGGGACTCCTGGTTCATTCCGCAGGGACCGAAACCGGGAGTCCCGTTCTCAACTCTAGTGTAATATATTTAGTGTCGGTGGCCATCAATAGATGGCGCCACCGACACCAAATTGCATGTCTTTACCTGACTGTATTCATTAATTACAATATTAATAATAACAGTTATAATAATAATAATCATAACAATAATAATAACAACTATAATAATAACTATAATAATAATAATAACAATTACAATAATAATAACAATTATAATAATAATACAGTATTATAATAGTATAATAAAATTTTCATTTACCGTATAGTATTATTTATGGTAACAATTACAGTATTAGTAGTATAATGTAATAGTAGTAGTAGTTGTTACAATAATAGTAGTAGTAGTTGTTATAACAATAATAGTAGCAGTTGTTATAATAATAGTAGTAGTAGTTGTTGTTATACACAACACAAACACATCAAACAGTATTACAAATATGTAATATAACACTCAGTATTATCACTACTTAATCAATTATACAATTAGTATAGTATTATATAAACTACAGTATTATTATTTAAACAATAGTTTTTTTTAAATAAAACCCAAAAAAAAATAATAAATAGTATTAATTTTATGTATTAAAAACAGTATTATAATGTATACTAAAACCCGTAAATTATAGGTTTTAAAAAAAAGTATTTAAAAAACCTTATCAGTATTATTTTTGTATTAAAATATATTTATAAAAATATTTTATAATTTTTGCATAATAAGCACAACTGATAATAGTTGTCAAGAACTATTATCAGTTGTTGCATATATTGAATATATTAGTCAATATAAATAAATTTATTTAATATTTATGAATATTTTAAAATTTAGACAAACAGTATTATATATAATCAATTATATATAATTTATAAATAATCAAATGGTAATTAGCATTTTTTAATTAAATTATTATTATATGTAATGTTAGTAAAATAAACAATTATAATTTTCAATAAATTAATTATTTATTTAAACAATGTAATTTTAGTTAGTTTAATCTAAATATAATCATTAAATATCTAAAAGGTTTGTATTTAAAACATACTAAATTGAACAAAAATTATAACTACTTGTTTATCAAAAAAAAATTATTAAAAAATTTACTTTTTTTTCAACTAATTAAATTATAAAATTTTTTGTATTAATAATAATAAATATATATTGTAGTTTATTACAGTATCTTATAAATGTATAATAGTAATATTTTTTTAATTAGTAATAGTTATAGTTATAGATAGTATAATTGTACATGTTTAAAAAATATTTAAAGATACAAAACATTACAAACCTTAAAATAAAAATAATAAACTAGAATAAAATAATTAAAAAATTTTCAAGATTTTTTATATTAAATATCTAAAAATATTTAACAAATTTAAACTTCAGTTTAATTTTTTGACTATTATTTACAGTTTATTAAGTACAAAAAAAAATGTAATTGACGGTAAAATATATTTATATAAAAAACATAGTTTTATATAATTGAATAAAATATAATATATTGCTAGATTAATATAATATGAATAATTAATATTTTAATATAGAATTAAATATAAATTTAAAAAAAATATATTAATTAATAATTGAACTTTTTATATAAACCCAAAATTTTTAGCAAATATTTTTCTAGATAGTTAATAACTATAGTTTACTGTTATTATTGTATAATTGAAATATATTAAAAACATTGTTTTATGCTCCATTAATAAATATAAAAATTTTATTACAATCATAAAAATTAGTAAAGTAAATCTAATATTAATAATTTATAATTATTGACAATTAATAATATTAAAATAACTATAAACATATTGTAGATGATAATTGATCGATAAATAATAATACTATTTTTAAAACTTATATTAAAACTTATATTTTAGTAGTAAATATAAACTAATAAAGAAACAAAAAATTATATTAATAATTTTTAAACCAGCACCTAATACAATCTAATTAGTTTATTAATTTATTTTTATCAGTAATAATTATATATTAGTGCAGTTTATGTTACAATTTTATTGAGCAATTAGTATTTAATTATTTAAAATTGTTAATACAATTGGCTAATTAAAATATTAATAACTATTGACTAAACGTTAGAAAATGATAGCAAAAAATAATTAATTAAATTTATTTAAACAAAAATATTCCTGTATAATTTAATTAAAACGCTAATATAAAAATTTAAATTATAGTTAATTATATAAATAAATAAATTTGATAGTCAATGAAAATTATATTTTATATAATATGTTATATATTTGTAATAGATAATATAAATTTGTACAAAAAAAATTGTAATATAAATCAAACTTTATGTATGTATAAATTTTTTGTGTTAATAATAATATAAATTTATTATAGTTTATTACAGWTTTGTTATTATAAATTATTTATAAATAAATTATWGTATTATTTTTCAAAAWAWTTTCATATTAACTTAAAAATAGATATACAATAAAATATGTCGATTAGTTATTATAAGTAATTTATTAAAAAATAATACAAATACTTATGTTATTAAATTATATTGTCAATATATTTTTTGGCGATGACTTAATTGCCCACCACGCCCCCCACGCCCCCCTCGCCCCCCACAAAATATTTTAGTAAAACTTTTTTTATGCCCACCTTGCCCCCACAAAACATTCAAACTGTTTTAAAAGCCCCCACGCCCCCTTGCCCCCACAAAATATTTTATTACAAGTTAGTTTACTATGGCTCCCACAACTTATAATAAAACTTATATGCCCCCCACGCCCTCCACAAAATATTTTATTAAAACTTTGTTTTTTATGCCCACCACGCCCCCCAAAAATATTTTGAAACTTATATGCCCCCCACGCCCCCCACAAAATATTTTATTAAAACTTTGTTTTTTATGCCCACCACGCTCCCCAAAAAATATTTTGAAACTTATATGCCCCCAAGCCCCCCACAAAATATATTTTAAAAAAACATTGTTATCTATACCCCACGCGGGAGAATATGGAAACAAATTTTATAACAAAAAACAATATATATATAAAACACTAATTTTGTTTGTTATTACAGTTTATAAGTTAATTAAATTTAATTATTTTATGATTCATTCATTATAGTTTACTATTATTAATTTTTATTACATTATAATTATATTATTTATAAAATTATAAATACAATTTATTTTTAAAAAAATTATTAAATGGTCAATTTTAATAATTAATAGTCAAAAATGACCATTGGTCACTATGTTAAAATAATTATAAAATTTTATTTATAATTGTTTAAAGTATATAGTTTTTAATATAATTAGTAATTAATACATGTTTTTAATATATAATTTATTCAATAATTAAATTTAATTAACTTATAAATTGTAATAACAAACATAATTAGTGTTTTATATATATATTGCTTTTAGTTATAAAATTTGTTTCCATATTATCCCGCGTGGGGTATAGAAAATAATATTTTTATCATATATTTTGTGGTGGGCGAGGGGGGCGCGGTTGCTTTTAAAACAGTTTTAATGTTTTGTGGTGGGCTTGGGGGGCGTAGGGCCCATAAAAAACAATGTGGCAACGGCGTGGGGGCATGGAAAAAAATTTTTAATAAAATATTTTGTGGGGGGCGAGGGGGCGTGGTGGGCAATTAAGTCATCGCCTTTAATTGGTTTGTAGATTATTTTTATTATTATGTATATTAATACTAATCTATACTCTAATGTACACTAAATTATTTTTATTTAAAACTACCTATCATCAAAAAATTACTATCAATAACCTATAAAAATTTATTTTAATAAAATAACAAATATAATTTTTTTTAATTAATTTAAATTATTCAATAGCTCTGATAATACATTTTGAAGTGACAATATAAGAACAAGTAAATATTCTATTCTATTAATAACTAATAAAAAAAATTATTTTAATAAATTAACAAATAACAAAAAAAATTTTAATTAATTATTACATAAGTATTAGATTTTTTTTTATATAAACTTTACTAAATATATTTCTATTAAATTAAATTAATACGAATCTTAAAATTTTATTAGCAAAAAAGTTATTATTAAATTATTAAATAGTCCATATCTAATAAAAACATAATTTTGTTTATGAAACTTTTTAGTTTGTTATTTTTATTACTATTATTATCATTAATATAAATATTATTAAACATCAAAAAACATAACATTAATCTTATTTAATAAAATTAAATTAAACTACTGTATAACCTACTAAAATAATAAAGTCAATATAATAAACTGTACATCAAAATTTTTTATAATATTGAATTTATAATTGTATTATGAAATATATTTTTGAGCTACCAAAGTTAATGGCTTATTTTTTTGTTGTGAAAATTAATACTAATCTACATTAACTTTATTTAAAAAAAAAATAAAATAATATTTATAACTTTTTAAAATCTTATTTTAATAAAATAACAAATTCAAAAAAAATAATTAATTAATTATTACATAAATATTAGATTTTAATTTAATAATATTTTTTTTGTTAATTATTATTTGAATTATTATTATTATTTGTTATCTAAATCTTTACGCCATTTCATATACGCTGTCCAACCGATACACCAGTCATACGGTTTGGGATAATTGAATGACCTGTCATTGAGTTGATCGCTGGCTCTGTACGGCCAGTGCGGGTCATTGAGGAAAGCCCTACCGATGAATACAAATGTTGAACAGTTATCCTGAAGTAGTTTTTCGGCCATCAATGGATCACGTATTTTACCGACAGCTGCCGTCCGGATACCGGCCTCTAGTTGTATGACAGCCGCTGCTGAATGTTGTTGTTTGGATGTATCGAGAAATTCATAGCCAATACCCGACACCACTCCACCAGAGCTGACATCAATCAAATAAACTCCCAGTGCTTTGAGTTGTTTAGCAAATTCAACCGATTGTTTTAATTCCCAGCCATTGTCGCCGACAACATAATCGGTAAACGATATATGGACGGCCAGTACAGTATCGGCGGGTATAGTCTGGTGTACTTTGTCGGCAATTTCCAAACCCAAACGCATCCGATTGGCCAGTGATCCGCCGTATTTATCTTGGCGTCGATTGGTTGCCGGCGATAGAAATGAGTTAACAAAATAGCCATGGGCATAATGTAGTGCAATTAACTATAATTAATAAATAATAATAATAATAATAATAATTTTAGTTTTTTTTAAAAATTAATTATATATTTAACATAATTTTTAGTTTTTTAGAATTTTAAAATAATATTTCATATAAACTCATATTAAAGTATAAATTTATTCTATAATTATTCTATAATTATAAAATATAAATATTAATAAATAGCGGAATAATAATAGATCACTTAAAACAATAGTAAATGTACTCAAATTATATATTTAATTACTCATATGTATTGCATAGTTATATGTTTTGACTACAGTGTATAATGTGTTAAATACATATCAATATATGTTGTTTGTATTCCCATTGAAATAACATTAACGGCATATTTAGTAATAGAAAATACGGGTTTACTATACCCATAGAAAATACATAAGCGGCACATTTACTATTGTAATTATGGGTTTAATATTGCCATAGAAATAACATTAGCTATACTTTAACATACAAACATATAGGTTTAGTTTGTGACACGTATAGTGTCAGTAAATGTAGTGACGCACTTGCGTTTCAGTGAATACTATTTAACCATTGGTTTAAACATTTTATATACAGGGGTTAACAAGGGTTTTTGTTTCCTATACTTTAACATTAATGAATTAATTAATTTCTAAGCGCACTTGTGTATTGTATTTTAATGCAAATGAGAATTTGCCTTTAGGTGGTAGTGTGCGACTGATCAAAAATAGGCAGAGTTTGAATTAACCAATAAGAGCAAAGTAGTAGTATATGTAAAAGTTGTCATCAAATATGAATGCAGAGTTTAACAGTTTGCGCGCGCAGCAGGCAGTGGCTTATGCAGCGATCAGACTGCTGAGCTCTCAGTCGGGCGAAATGCTCGACACAAATTGTCTTACTCTTGAACTGGTCGGTTGCCGTCACTTCACTCCGCAATACACTATAGTGTATTGTAATACATTGTATTAGTATTATTTTATATGTTTTATTAATAAACTCGGTTTTGGTTATAAGTCCCGAGTAAGTCATTTGGGCCTTTGGCCCGTACTTTCTCTCTTCTCTCTCTCTTGCTTTCTCTCTTCTCTTCAACTACGGGCTCCCTTGCCGTGTCAGTCGCGTGTCCCTTTCACGTGTCCATCACCACCACTACAACACTTTGGCCGACAGCACCGCTCAGCTCTTTGGTCGATACAGCACCGCTCAGCTCATTGACCGTCGCAGCACCGCTTATTGTTTGGCTCATCAAAGCCATCACCGCTCAACGCGAGATCCATACCGTGGTCGCTGATGTCCTCAACTACATAGGTGTTGGTGCCGACTCATCTCTAAGACCGACACACTTTGGTGCCGATAACGTCGAGTCAGCACCGGACACCTTAAGCAACCTATCCAACCGTTTCAATTGGTGGCTGACAAGTGGGATTCGCTCAACACAGTGCCGCCGCTCAACACATCTACATTTAACTTTAACTGTAAGTTTTAAAACTTTTGTGATCATCTATTATCGACATCGCGACTACGCGTCTWCTTTGGCCAACTCATCGCGAGTTTCACWCGGACGACTACACGATATCGTTTACGGACATCGAGGCGAAGAATACGTTAGGAGTGGCCTTATAGTTGGCAGCTATCTTTAAACTGCCACCAAACCCAAAGACCGGTCCACGGAGAGCCAGTTGTTAGTCTGTGCTCCCGGGACCATACAAAGGTCTTTAATTCCCATACCCGTCACACTTAGTGACTGACACGAGACAAAGGGTCCGCTCTATTTAGAGCTTTTCGCATTAATTTGCATTTATTTTTCACCCGAATGTCTAGTGTCTGCTACCCGCCATCTCATCAATCTACAGACATCTCAAGAGAATCAACGCGACAACGAACACCAAAGTTATCTCTGTCTAGAGATAACTCATTTAAGCACATCTTTACGCAAATTAAGCGAATTTTTAAGGACAATTAATCTCTTCCGAAAAGAGATATTACAAAGGATTGAAATTGAAAAGGAAATCCTGTTCTACGCGCAAAAGCTACGGTCCAATTTAAAAAAGATATATTATCGCCGATTTCAGACCAATAATTTCAAGGAAACGGCCAAAATTATCGGTACATTAAACACTAAACTACAGTTCGCTCGTAATAAGTATCAAAACCTTTTGGCTGATTTGATACCAAAGTGCCGACAAGTTTGGCATACCTCTGACGAACAGTGTGAGTACTGTTATCACTATTTTAGCGACGTAATCCCTGATTGCACCAAACATGTCGTCCCAAACAAATGTCAACAAATCAAACAATATGGAGTCGAATATCAGTTTATTCAACAAAACTTTCTTAATGAAATCTTTGGTAACCCCACTGATCAAACAAAACCAGACAAACCCGATTCTCAAGCAAACGTCGTACTACAGCTACCTGCTATCGATTGGCCAACAACTCCCGGAGTCGACGGAAAAAGAAAAACAATTGAAGAGCACACACAACAAGAGAATGAGGAGTCTAGCAAATGGTCAAAACAAAGAGAAAAGCATCACCGAATCAACAGATGGTTACACGGCGTCAACCGTTATTATAAAAGACATCAACAGAAGGAACATTCGGTTCGGGAAAACAAAAAGAGGCAAACGTAAACAAAGTCCTCAACTATTGATTAGAAGCATACCATATTACCGATCAAATGACCCACCAAAGGATGTCATACTTGGTCTCGACATCGAGTTCGCAAAAGATAAATACACCAACAAATTATTGGCGGGTTGGGTCACTATCTGCTCATCATTGAGTTCAAGAAAAGTTCTCAATATGGGACTCAAGAGTTATGTTATATTTCATGCATTTGTTAAACTAAATCCATTTGATGTCAACCTAATGACCAGATGGTCCGGTCTTACACGTGATATGGTTACTAATGGTGTTGAACTAAAGGACATACAAGAAAAAATTGTTTACTACTTGGATAACTACACTATCATAGGCGTCTCTATTAAAAGTGATTTACAAGTTCTCGGATTTATTGATTATCTCCACAAACCTAATATAAAAGACTTACATGATGTCTTCAAAGGATCAGGTGGTAATAATGATAAAATATCACTTAAAACAATGGCTTACGCTGTCTTCAATAAACGCATACAGGAATACACTATTCCCGTAGACAAAGGTAGACCAATACCACCCGGGCATTCACCACTACAAGACGCTCGTATGTCAGTTAAAATTTATCAACAATACATTGATGGTAAAATAAAACCTGCACTCGACAACTGTGGCAACATGTCATTTCAATGGATGAGAGACAAAGAGAGGCTAGACCCGGAAATAATGAAAATTAAACAAAAATTAAAAGACAATAAAAAATCCTTCAGATCTAAATAAATTAATCGGTTAACTATACATAAAAAATAATACATATATCATATTGTTTACACATATATACTATATTTTTCTATTGTTTAATTTTAGTAATTTGCTCATAACTATATTATTCAAGGGTATATTTTAATAATTTTTTATATTTTAATATTCTATACATTAATGTCTATAATTATAGATTAAAATAAAAATTGGGAACTTATGTTTTGTATTTTATTTTTAATTTTAAAATTTTGTTAATGTTATACAAAATTAATCATAACTTTTTGAAACAAAGATAATTTCAACTATATTTAAATGCTATATTATAGTGTATACTAAGGTCTATTAAAACACATTAAATTAATTTACGGATATTAATAAACAGATATAAAAAATAGAATAAAAAAACAATTTTTATGTTATTTTTTGACAAAAAGTTTTAGAAAAAACACTCACAACTTTTTAATTCAATGGTATAATTAAATATTTATAATTAATTTTATAAACTACAAATAATCTTCTRCAATAATAGACTAAAACACAAATTGGGAATTATTGTCTTGTATTTTAATTTTAATTTCAAATTTTTAAAAATTAAATAAAATTTTGTTAATGGTTATACGAAATGACTCATAACTTTTTAAAACAAAGATAACTTYRAATATATAAAAATGCTATATTATAGTGTATATTAAGGTCTATAAAAACACAATAAAAAATATTACGGATATTGATAATTAAATATAGAAATAAATTAAAAACTATTTTTATATGTTATTTTTTGTGCAAAATATTAKGTTTATAATAATCATAACTTTTTAAAACAAGGATATAATTTATAATTTGTTTTTGTTTTTATATACTACAGATAATAGTCTAAAATAATAGTTAAAAATCAAAATTGGATATCAATAATTAAATTAAGAATTTWATAAAATCGTAATTTTATTTATTCCAATTTTTGTTATAAAAAGTTACAATAATAGCTATAACTTTTTTATTCAAATATATTTTTATAAATTAATTTTTATTATTAAATTTACATTTTGGTTGTCTATAAATTAGCATTAATTAAAAAATTGGGAATTATTTCAAAATAATTAAAAATTCAACTTTTATATCAAATTAATTTTTTGAAAATTTTAATAAGACATTACATTTTATCTTATAACTTTCTTATTCAAAGGTATTTTAAATAAATTGTTTATATAATTTAATAGCACATTTAATAAGCTACAAATTAGCATAAATAAAAAAATTGGGAAATAATTACTAATAATTAAAAATTTAATTTTAATAGTCATTTAATAAAAAAATTTACAAAATAATGATCACATTTTTTATCATAACTTTTTTATTCAAGGGTATTTTATAATTTTTATTGTCATTAAAATAATCACAAATAAATTATCTATAAAATAGGCCAAATTAAAAAATTGGTAATTATCATCAAAATAGTTTAAAACAATTAAAACTATCAAAATTACACAAAAATCCCGACTTCAAGCCTATGCAAAGCTAACGATTTTTTGTTTATTACGACCCAAATTAATTTTTATTTTTTTTT